AAGGTTGGGCAATCTACTTTCATAGTGATACTGCTTCGGAAACCCAAGGAGGGGTCATTATGAGTTGGGTCTGACTGGATGGCAAATAACAACAACATTATTATTATTTACATTTTAACAGCTGAAATCAGGATAAGTGTAATGATAAACTGGCAGAATTTTTTAGAGGTAAATAATAGTATCTTAGATGTGACGAAATATAGGTGCATTTGACTGTTAAGAAACCTGAGGTTCTAAAAATTCATTTCAAATATAGAAGCTAAATTCTGAAAACCTTACTTCTGAGAAACTAGTAAATGAACTAATTCCTTACCTTCAGCAGGTCAAGTACCAATGCCTCAACATTGTCCCAGAACTGCACTCCATCTCTAAACATCTATAAGCTCTTGGTTGTACTTATCTTAGAGCAGATACCACATACAACACTGTATTTGTATATGTTTTTATTCTTACTAATATATGCCCTTTGCTCGAAATATCTTTGTATTTTGTGGTGCTACCAGCATGGCAGAACATGCTAGCTAGTCCGTACTATGTATCTATTGTGTGGATCATAACAAATTATGGGTAACACTGAGAATGAGAATTTCCAGAAAACTTAATTGTGCTCATGAGGAACCTGCACAGACTAGGAGGCTGTCATTCGAACAGAACAAGGAGATACTCCATGGTTTAAAATCAGGAAGGGAGTATGTCAGGGTTGCATCCTTTCACCATACTTATTCAATCTCTATGCTGAGCAAATAATCTGAGAAACTGGGCTATATGAAGAAGAGCATGGCATTAAGGATTGGAGGAAGACTCATTAACAACCTGTGATATGCAGACGACACAACTCTGCTTGCTAAAATTGAAGATGACTTGAAGCACTTTCTGATGAAGATTAAAGACTACAGTTTGCAGTACGGATTACATCTCAACATAAAGAAAACAAAAATCCTCACAACTGCACCAATAAGCCAGCATCATGATAAATGAAGAAAAGATTGAAGTTGTCAAAGATTTCATATTACTTGGTTCCATAATCAATACCAATGGAAGCAGCAGTCAAGACATCAGATGATGTATTTGCACTGGGCAAATCTGCTGCAAAAGACTTCTTTCAAGTTGTTATTGTTGTTATTTGCCTTCCAGTCGGACCCGACTCATAGCAACCCCTCCTTGGGTTTCCGAGGCAGTATCACTACGGAAGTAGATTGCCCAACCTTCCTTCTGAGGAGTAGCTAGTGGGTTTGAACCACCAGCCTTCTGGTTAGCAGTCTGGTAGTGTAGCCTTAGGCACTACACTACCAGAGCTCCCTTCTTTCAAGTGCTGAAGAGCAAAGATGTCTCTTTGAAGACTAAGGTGCACCTAACCCAAGTCATGATATTTTCAATCACCTCATACATATGTGAAATATGGACAATGAACAAGGAAGACTGAAGAAGAGTTGATGCTTTTGAAGTGTGGTGTTGGTGAAGAATACTAAGGTACCATGGACTGCCAGAAAAATCTAATCTTTCCTGGAAGAAGTGCAGCCGGAATGCTCCTTGGAAGTAAGAATGGCCAGACTTTGTCTCACCTACTTTTGTCATTGTTGTCAGAAGGGACCAATCCCTGGAGAAGGATATCGTGCTTGCTAAAACGGGAAGGACTACAATGAGATGGACTGATACAGTGGCTGCAATGATACACTCAGGTATAGCAAGGATTGTGAGGCTGGCACAGGACCAGGCAGTGTTTCGTTCTGTTGTATACAGGGTCACTAGGAGTTGGAGCCAACTCGATGGCACGTAACAACAAACAACAACAGCAGCAACTATGTACCAGGTATTATCATAGGCAGAGAGGCTACAAAGATGATCCAGTCATACACCAGCCTGATGTGTGAGAAAATACTAGTTACAAATTGTGTGGGCTATCATAGCTATACATACCAACTGCAAGAGAACACAGAAGAAAGAGCATTTAAATTCTACCTGAGGTAATTGAGAAAAGTGACACTGGAATTGGATTTGGGGACAGGTAGGAGATTGGACTATGAGCAGGATGAAACAGAAGAACATTCTAAAAAGACACACCAAGATAGGCAGAGAAAGAGAGGCATAAAAGAGCAAAGCATGTTCAAGAAATAAATGGTCTGTCAATTACAATATAACATACATTGGTACTATGGTAAAGTGAGAAGAAAGATAGGACTAGAAATGTGAGTTGGGATCAGATATGAAGGGCCTTGTATGCCATGCTAAGGAGTTCTCATATGATTATGTAGCTAATGATGAGCCATTGAAGATTTCAGAAATACAACTATTCCAGCAACAATATAAAAGATGGGCTAGATTAGGGAAGCAGATACCACATATTAAACTCAACACCTATTCCCAACCCTTTGTCCTTTGCTTTCTTCACTATACAAGAAATGAAATTTCCCATTCCTCCCTGAGCTAAATGTAGCTATGTGACAAGTTATGGTTGAAACAAGGACAGAAGTTTTATGGGGGAGGGGGGTTCTCAGATAGAATTTACTTTTCTAATAAGCCAGAATCACCTTGTATATCTTTTTCCCCACCCCTTCTTTCTAACCTGAATATGTGTGCTCTCTCTGGAGGTATAGCATCCATTTTGTGACCATGAGGTGACATATCAACATGCTAAAGAGAGCAGAATGAAAAGGGAAAAAAGTCTAGGTCCCTGATAGCAGCAATGAGCAGGACTCATTATTTTTTATGGCACTCTAAACTGGTTTTCTGTTACTTGTTAGCAGAACACACTCTCAAATGATATAGCCAGGAGCAAGACAGTCAAGCAGGCAGATTAGTCAGGAAAGTGATAATGAAGACTTGAACAAGAGCAATGACAGGGATAGAAAAGGTAGAATTAATTTGAGAAATACAGAAATGAAGAGAGAGAGGTAAAGATAATTTAGTTTTGGGCATACTGACATTGGAATATATAGGAGATATAAGGTAGATATTACTAATAATTAGAAATACAGGTCTTACAAGTCTGGAGTGATAAGGGAGCTAAAAATACAAATAATAATGGCATAAATTGGTGGCTACAGCCAAGTTGAGTAAAAATGAGAGAGCATGCAGAATGAGAAAAGAGGACTAGGGATAGATACAACATAAACAGCCTCCACATTTATGGAAGAGGAGCAAAGGAAGAAGAATGAAGAATGACAGGAGAAACAGGAACAACAGAGAGAAAAGGGAGAAGTGAGTTTCAAGGAGGGAGTGATTAGGAGTCAATAATTACAGAAAATTCAAGTAAGTATAGGGGTCAGGGTGTCACAAGTAAAAGAGGAATTGAATGTGAGGAAACAAGAAAATGACAATTACTTTCTAAAGGAGTATGCCAATCATACCAATCATAGCAGGAAGAGAGAAAGACAGCTCAAGAGGGAGAGACAGGGTTAAAAAAGGTTACGTTTGTCTTGTTTTAGTTATTGTTTTTAGATAGAGAAGACCTGAAGTTATCTGGAGGTTGAGGAAAAGAAAGGAAGGAAGGAAGAAATCAAAGACTGAAAATAAAATGGAGTATGGTCCTAGAAAAGATGGGAATGAATGACATCAGGAACACAAATAGAGGAGTTCTTCTTAGAAAAGGGGGATGCATGGCTGAAATGGTAAATGGGTAGATGAGAATGGTCATGTCTAAGGATTTTTTTCCCTCTATGAAATAGAACAAACAGTCATTTTTGGCAAGTATAGGAGGCTTGAGAATAAAAGGTCTGAAATAGCTCTCCAAGGAAACAGAATAGGAAACTACCTCAAAACTAGTCAAAGAATTGCTAAACAGCACTGGGAATCTCGTGTAACATATGGGCATCTTAAAGAGTTAGAGGTGTTTGTGAACACCTTAATAAAAGAAAGTTAAGAAGTTAACCTTAATAAAAGAAAAAGACAAAACCAAGCACAAGTGCCAAAAATATGCATATTTTATTTCAGCTCTGTGAAATGCCAAAAGGGTAGAGATGTCCTTCCAAACACCATTCTAACTTAGCTGACATCAATTCAGAAATGCTAGAGAAGATATTTGTGTGTATGTGTATGTACATATTTTCAGATTTTAGTTTCATCAGTGTTCATGTCTTTATTCCATTTTTGTCTTTTATAAACATTCTTAAAAGTCATCAAATGCATCCTAGCATGTCTACCACTGTCTCATTAATCACTTAATACTGCTTGGATTGCACTCGGTTTGTATATTAATCACTTATGTGACTGGCCAAACTGTACATTACTAGATGTAAGGGAGGGAAATGTAAGTTATACTTTACGGGTCACAATTACCCATTACATGTTTCTTTCATCATTTACAACTTCACACATCTTGTAGTTCTCTATGCAGTCTATTTCAGCTTCTAGTGCTGTACATATCTACATCTTCTGGATGGGACTGCCCGTGATCCATGAGCTTGGGGTCAGGCATAAACTGTGTAGCACCTGATAAAGTATTAAAATGAAAAATAATTAGTCATTTATTTAACAAATTTATAGTCAATAAAGGAAACAGACCAGTGAACAAAACAAATAAAAATCTTTGCTAACATGAACCTAACATTTTAGTTGGGTGAGACAGAAAATAAATTAAGCATAATACGTATCAGATGGTGGTTAAGTACTACATAGCAAAATAAAGTAGGGAAGGGCATATGAAGTGCCTGGGTAATTTACAATTTTAAATAGGGTAGCCAGGGAAACCTTTTATGGAAAGGTGATATTTAAGCAAAGAACTGAAGGAGGTCAGGATGTGAGCCCTGTAGATATTTGAGAGAAATGCCTTACAGTTGATTGCAAGTGTAATGAAACTGAGGAATGTCTGAGGAACAACAAGATAGCAAACACAGCTGAAACAGAGTTGGTGAAATGTGGTGGCAGTGTGGTGAGTGATAGGACATGTGATCAGAAAGGGAGTACACAGGTCACATGGTAAGGACTTTGGATTTTAGTGTAGGTGATATGAGAAGACACTGAAGTTTTCAGCAGAGGAGTGATGTGATCTTAGGTTTTTCAAAATATCATTCTTGACTATGAGGAGAAAGAAACTGTAGGAGTACAAAGGCAGAAGTAAGAAGCCCACTTAGGATGCTACTGCAATACTTCAGAAGAGAGATACTATGACTTTAATCAGATAGTACCAGCGGATGTAAGGAGTTCTGGCAGCGTAGTACCTAAGGCATTTGTTAACCAGAAGGTTGGTGGCTCAAACCCACCAGCCACTCTGCTGAAGGAAGACTGGGCAATCTACTTCTATAAAAATTTACCGCCTCGGAAACCCAAAGGGGGTCACCGTAAGTTGGAATCTACTTGATGGCAGTGAGTTTTGTTTTGTTTTTAGCAGTGGATGTGGTGAAAAGGACTTGGATTATGAGTAACTTTTGAAGGTAAAATAGAGAGGATTTCTTAAATGGATTATGTGGTATGAGAGAGACACTTTAACTTGAGAAACTGAGAAAATGGAGTTGGCATTTACAGAGATAGGGAAAAATGTTTAAGGAGCAGGTTTGGGGGAAGGCAAATGAAGTGTCAAGTTTTGGGTGCATTAAATTTGAATTGTTTACGAGACATTCAAGTACAAATGTTGAGTTGTTGTTAGTTGTGGCAGCCGGATATGTTGAGTCTGGAAAGTTCAGAGGTTAGGTCTGCACTAGTTCATAAATATAACTGTCCTAGACTATGCTGTCATTTAAAACTATGGGACTAGATGAGATCATCTAGAGAGTCAGAGAAGAGGTTCAAGGAATGAGCCTTTTGAGCACTCCAATATTTTGAAGTCAAGAAAATTAGGAAGATGTAACAGAACACTGAGAAGGAACAGAGCCAGTCAGTGAGGTAAGAGACCCAAGGGCAAATGGTGTCCCACATGCCAAGTAAAGAAATTGTTTCAAGGAGGAAGGTACTGATGGATGGTGAAAAATGGAAATTGAGAACCAACTCCCAGATTTTGGTAATGTGTCAATCAATGGTGATGCTGATAAGCTGTGTGCCAGGCACCATGAACAGTTATTTTCATGCATTATCTCACAATACCACTATGAAGTTGATGTTATTTTATATTATCCTTGTTTAAAGATAAGAAAATCTTTGTTTAGAAAGGGAAAACTGACCGACATCACTCAGCTCGTAAGTTGTGGATACAGGATTGAATCCAGTCTGTCTAACCCCAACACAACAATACTGGCTATTAAAGTAAGAACAACCTTGTACAATTATTTTAAGTATTACAAATGATAATTCACATAAAATGCATATAATACCTCATATATGGTAAGGAGGCAATGAACAGCTATTTTTATACTTACTCTGAGACATAATATTAAAAACTTTTAAAGAAATTTGTTTTATTTGAAATATTTTAAAAATTTGATTCATATTAAAATGATTTTATTACATTTGAGAGCCAATTTTTTTTTGCCATAGAGGAATTCAGTTTCCAGTATTACAATGAAAGTGGAAAAATAGAGTTGAATATAATGATTTGTTTTATACCTGTCTTTTCAAAAACATTTAATCTTGTATAAACTGTGACACACCTATATGTGATATACCTGTATGTTTTTAATACATTTGGTGATTGTTTTTTAATAATCAAATCACAAGTAATTACTACTCTAGCTCTCTATGGTACAGAGATTCTTAACCTGGGGTTCTTTTGGGGGTCTGTGAATAGAATATATGTGATCCACCAACTTGGATGTAGAAAATTTGTCTTCATTTTCACTAAACACTCACTGAAATGATTATGTTCTTCAATAATGAATTAGACAACAAACCACAACAGTATTACCAACACCTCAGATTTAGTCACCAACAGAAATCACAGATCTTTTCTTATCATGTTACAGCTGTGTATGTAAAAATATTTACAATCACCACTACTTTGAAATTATGGTAGCTATTAGACATATTGCTAGATCTTGTTTAATGCATCTTAAAGAAGCACATATAGTGTTACATATTTTGTTTTATGCATTTAAAAAAAAAACTTTGAAAATGGGTTTGTACTTATGGACCTTGAGAAGGTGTCTTTCTCAGAAGTATCTTTAATGCCACCTGATGGAAGCCATTGCTCAGTACAAGTGAAGTGTTGTTATGTTGTTGTTGTTATGTGCCGTCGAGTCAGACCCAACTCACAGCAACCCCTCCTTGGGTTTCCGAGGAGTGGCTGGTGGGTTTGAACCGCCAGCCTTTTGGTTAGCAGTCAAGTGCCTC